GGTTGTGTCTGATGCCCCCTTTTTGTCTCTCGCTTTGACTTTGAGTTCGAGTTTTATAGTACTCCAGTCATAATATGTAATTTTCTTGTCCGGCATCTCACACTTCATGACAATGCAAAACATGGTAAATATAACCTATATAATATAGAAGAATAGGCTACTATTATTATAAATTTTAATGACGTGGGTTGCATAAGCTGTTATCTCCTAGAACGATGAGGTCGGTACGTGAGAAGGGAGGTGTGTGGGTGGTTGATGGGGGAGACTGGTACTGGTACTGATATGTCCTACTTCATTACCCCCCACCACTCCCCTCTCCCCCTCCTTCTCCCCCTCTTTAAGAATAATAACAAGAATAACAAGAATAACAATAATAATAGGGCACAACGTCGGATCCCTAACAGGATTCGATCCCACAATCTTACGGTTGCGAGTCTGAGAGCCTAACTTCAAGGCCATCGCCACCACATCCTGTCCAAAATGTCTGCTTGGAAACTAACAAAGTCATCGTGTATGCTGCACATGTCATTGTTCACTTGTGTGTGTATGTATGTGTGTGTGTGTGTGTGTGCGTGTGCGCGCGCGCGCGCGCGCGTGCGTGCATGCGAGCATGCGTGCATCTTGACCTTGTTGCAAAGGATAGTAATATGATTATTGAATCATAGCTACAGGCCTAACCTTCATCATATAGGCCTCTATACAGTGCATAGGTGCAAGAGTAAGGGTACGCGAGGTATGCCCACCTTTTTCGCCGAGTTGAATAAAATCAAGTATTATCAAGGGCTGTTTGCGTGAGTTAAAAATCTATAAGTGCTCACGTGACTTCAACGCAAGTCAACCCTGCAGGGTCCTCTACTCAGAATGCTCATACTCATAACGTGGTAGACACAGTTGGCCGACTTAATTAACTGCCATTCCCAGCTCGGGCGTTCTAAAAATCTAGATTTTTAACATAAATGAAAGTTTCTAAACCTTTTTTTATCTATTGCAAAAAGATTGTAGTTAGTAAGCAAGTTTGGCCCCTTTTTAAAAACCTATGAGTCGAGAGAGAAACGGTTTTCGTCCCACAAATTTCATGTTGTGGCTGCTGCTGCTGCTGCTGCTGCTGCTGCTGCTGCTGCTGCTGACAGGACAGTATTCCTGTATGATTCCAAATCATCTGATATTAAAAGAGAAATATGAAAATGCGTCGACATCGGAAATCCGTAATTATTATTATCGGGCCGCCGGGGAGAAAGTGCGGGATGTTGGGTTTTTTCTTCTTTTTTTAAATTTGGTCATAACCGGTTTCGTCCGCCCTAAGTTACAGCAACTGCCACTCCAATTCCGTTTCTACAATGCGAGGAGAAAATTATTTGATTATCATCCCATCAACAGGGAGGTGGAAGTAGGATTTCGGGGAAGATAAAAGTGTATTTGTGAGGCAGCGTGGTGGAATCAGGCTCTCGTTAATTATTGGGTATATTGAGTTATAGGTATCATCTTAAAGCTTGTTCATTTGTCTTGCTTTCAATGAAAAAATTACCCATCCATCTTCAATGGAAGTGGAGACATTTTGGATTGAAGGAGGTGGAGGTCACCTGATTTAAGAGGTAAAATTAGCCAGAAAATGGCCGTCAAACCTTGGTAAATTCCAAAGCTGGAGAGTCCATGGAAACTGAAAATTTATATTTATGTGCCTTTAATCAACGTTTTCGGTGAAATCCTCAAAGGAATGTGTTTGTAAAGGGACATAAAAGGTGTTCAGCCAAAGAACAAAAATTTGAGAAAAATTGCTAAGCATGGAGAAAACTGCTGTTTTCTTCGATTTCATTACTTTGACGAGAGCCTGATTCCACCACGCTGCCTCACATTTTAAAAGATTGCAGAATAAATAGATGTCTCTGACAAAACAGTTTCGCTCCAAATCTTTGTAATAGTACTCTTGTTCAAAATCTGTTTTTAAGTCCAAGGAAAAACTTTGCGTGTTGTTTACAGTGAGTGTGCCACTGACTCGTGACATGATAGGCTGACATTTCCAGCAAAGATAAGTACGGTACATCCCAGAATAGAACCACATCCGCACACCAGAGAGAGGGGGGAGAAAGAGAGAGAGAGAGAGAGAGAGAGAGAGAGAGAGAGAAGGAGAAAGAGAGAGGGAGAGAGAGAGAGAGTGTGTGTGTGTG